ATGTCCTTGTCCCTGCAGGGGGGTTGGACTAGATGACCTTCCAAGGCCCCTTCCAACCCAAACTATTCTATGATTCTGTGAAAACCACAATGTGGAAGAAGATCATCTTTGACTTTTGTATATGCAATGCACGTAGTTTCTCTAACTACTCCGTCTTTGGTACTTGCAAACTTTGCACTGAGATTGAGGCCTCACCCAGACTGGAAGGCAGTGGCTACTCCATTTACCCCATCAACAATGGAACAACAGAGCTCTGCAGAAGACAAAACAGGCATTCCTGAATAAAGTATTTCTAATGAGCATGACTGGAAATCACGCGAAAAGTGGCCTAACATTTGCACACCACATTACAAAAGAGATAATTCAGCCACTGATTAAAAGGATCTCACCAGGCTTTTTAAAAGACATGCACATTTTACACACTGCAGAGAGATTTCTCCCCCAAAAGACAGCAGGAAGAAATTCTCTAGGTACCAGTAAAAGAAAATTCCCACAAACATCTTTCCTACACTATAACCATCAAGGGTGTTACTCCGGGTAATTGTTTTTCGTCATAAGGCATTATAGCTTCTTGCATATTTTCAAACCACAGAAATGTAAAGCAACATGATTGTGGTGGGTTGACCCTGGCTGGATGCCAGGTGCCCACCAGAGCTGCTCTATCACTCCCCCTTCTCAGCAGGACAGGGGAGAGAAAAATATAACAAAGAGCTCATGGGTCAAGGTAAGGACAAGGAGATCACTCACCAATTACTGTCATGGGTAAAACAGACTTGACTTGGGAAAATTAATTTAATTTATTACTGATCAAATCAGAGTAGGATAACAAGAAACAAAAACTAAATCTTAAAACACCTTCCTCACACCCCTCCTTTCTTCCTGAGCTTAACCTCACTGCCGATTTCTCCACCTCCTTTCCCCAAACAGTGCAGGGGGACAGGGAATGGGGGTTGCAGTTAGTTTATCACACATTGTCTCTGCCACTCCTTCCTTCTCAGGGGGAGGACTCCTCACGCTCTTCCTCTGCTCCAGCGTGGGGTAACTCCCATGGGGTGCAGTCCTTCAGGAACAGACTGCTCCTGCGTGGGTGCCCCACGGGGTCACCAGTCCTGACAGCAAACCTGCTCCAGCGTGGGCTCCTCTCTCCATGGGGCCACAGGTCCTGCCAGGAGCCTGCTCCAGCACAGGCTTCCCATGAGTTCACAATCTCCTTGGGGCTCCCGTGTGGGGTCCTCCACAGGCTGCAAGTGGGTATCTGCTCCACCGTGGACCTCCACGGGCTGCAGGGCACAGCCTGCCTCACCATGGTCTTGCTCACAGGCTGCAGGGGAATCTCTGCTCCAGTGCCTGGAGCACCTCCTGCCCCTCCTTCTTCACTGACCTTGCTGTCTGTAGGGCTGTTTCTCTCACATATTCTCACTCCTCTCTCTGGCTGCAGGTTGTATTTTTTTTTCCCCCCTTAAAGACTTTATCACAGCGGTGCTACCACTGTCGCTGATGGGCTCGGCCTTGGCCAGAGGTGGGTCCATCTTGGAGCCGGCTGGCGTTGGCTCTGTCAGACATAGGAGAAGCTTCTAGTAGCTTCTCAGAAAAGCCACCCCTGTAGCACCCTCATGATCAAAACCTTGCCACACAGACCCAATACATTAAGGTCTTTCACTGCTGGCTCATTGGGAGATCAGTCTGTTCTCCCCAGCCACTGAGCAATGTTTCTGTAAGAGCCCTTACACCTGTGTCACTGCATTTCTTTCCATTTAACCCCTTCTGGAAGCTCATTTAGAAACCACTGCTTACAGGGCAGGTAGAAGTACACTCTTATCTCAACAGACTCCCAGCATTTCTGGCTCTCCAGTAGCCTTTTAATGTTCGGGTCCTTAGGAGAGAGGAATCTAGTTGTTTCAGAGCAGATTCCCCTAATTGTCTCTGTTAATCTTATTATTGTGTGCTAAGGTCCAAGGATCTTTTACAGCCCAGGCAGAGATTTCTGTAGCATGCAGCAGCTCAGCGCCCTCCATGGGCAGAAGTGCAGCAAACAGAAATACATGGCAAATTACTGATCCTTGTTACTTGGTATTGTGTTTATGAGGCTGCTGCCCATCCCTTCACAGCATGGCACAAACCAAGACTGCCACTATTATCATTATCTAAAGATGTGACACCACCAGTCAGTTTTCCTAACCCATTAGGGCAAAAGGATGCCCATTTAAACCTGTCCCTACCCAGGGCTGGATTTCAGTATCTTACAGTCTGTCACAGCAAACATTGCAGTCCTGTTGGTGGTGATGTTAAAGGTTTCCCCCTGAACTGAGTAGAAAGAGAACTCCAGTTACAAATAGCAGCTTAGGCAATCAGTTCCAATTAAAGAATAATTCAGTGACAAATACAACCCCAGGCATTACTGAGTTCCTCTTTTAGAAAAATAAAAGAAAAAAAAAAGACTTCCAAATATATCAAATCTACTTACATTATTACATTATTATTAATTAGGATACTCAGGCAAAGCAGCCCAAACCTTTATTACCTGAAGCAGCAGTTTGGCAGTGACTGGAGTTTTATTTCTCATTGATTAAGCAATAGGTACAAGCTGAACCAGTAACCTCATGTGAAGGGTATTAGACCTGAATGCATAGCAGATTTGTGTGAAGTCTTATGGCCACGGGACAGATAGATCTATATATGTTGCCCAGGGTAAAACTGCATGAATGACTCTGAAAGAAGAAGGCTGCTGCATCAAATCATGGCAAATAATTGTTAATTCATTTTAGCGTGAAATCTTTTTACACCTCACATAAAATAAGCCACTTTTGTGGAAGGGTTGATGCAAGAATATTCCCTTTCAGTACAATGATGGGGCTAAGTGCTGCCTTGTATGTGGAAAAAATGGACAGTTGTTCAGTGGACTTCAGAGAAAAACCTGCCCTTCCTTTGCTAATCCTCACTCTGCCAGAAATACTGAGCAGGTACCTGGAGAAATGTCCTGTCACAGGTGATAACATCTAGTCCTGTACCCACTGGCTGCACAGCACCTACAGAGAAATTCTGGCAAATCCAATCCTGTCATCCCCAGATGTCAGGTTTGCCCCAGTGCCTAGAAATAACACTTCTGTAGAGGAACTGGAAGAAGAAAACATTTGCTCACAGTCTGGTACGGGCATACTGGTTTAAACCTCTGATGAAGATGAATTTTCAGTGATACGCCTGCTCTGGCATTGCAGCGTCTGAGGTGCAAACATTTTATTGCTGACAGTGCTGTGAGAGAACTGATCTGCAAAATAGAGCATCCTAAGCCACAGCAGCTCTTCGCCTCAGGGAACATGAGTCAGGGTGCTTAGATTGCACTGGTTTCTACTAATTGCCTACTTAACTCCAAAGAGCCAGACAAGGCTATTTCATTTAAACTTACGTTTTTACAAACTTAAAATAGAATAAAATATAGGTTATAGCAAGAGTTGCCTAAAAACTCATTAGACTTAATTTCCCTGTGTTGTAAGGTAATGTGAGACTGAAACAAAGGCAGATATGGAGCCACATGTATAAAAGCCTCTTTTAAACATTCCCTTTGCCCAACATTCAGGCTTTACATTTGACACGAATGTCATGGTCTTCACAGAACAGATCTTGCCCAAAAGATTTAAGCTCTGTCTTGCATAAGCATAAAAATAAATTATAACTAACACCTCATAAACTAGTAAGCTTACACTGTGCCCTGCTTAATTTTCCTAAAAAGCCAGGAATACAAATGCCCATCTGGATTTAAAGAGGGTTTGAAATGGCTACAGGAGAGATTTCCTGGGCAAACAGAGGCATGCTCTTTATTCACGGTCAGTGAATTTTCTTCTTGTATAAAACCCATAGCTGGGGCCAGCTATAACAGAAAATGGTTATTAAAATCTGCTTCGTATTTCAGAGAATGCATGATCTTGGTCAGTAACACTTGGGACTTTCTTTTATTGTGTTCTGCAAAAGCAGCCTGGGATGCAAGTAGCCTGTTGAAGCAGAAAGCAGATATTTTCTCTGTATCTGAGTTATTGGTTGTTTCATGGCAATTAGTGGGTCCCATTTTGCCTTATGATTTTCGAGTGGGATTCTCCCCGAGTGAAGCCCAATCTGCACTTGGGTATAATGACCTGTGCAAATGCAGGCAGAATTTCATGCTGCAAAAAACAGCCTCCCATAAGCTGTTAAGAGATGCAGTTGTTGAAAACAAACACTGGAAGAGATTTTTAAATGCCTGAAGATGGATTATTCAAACTTTAAAAGCCCTGTTTCACTACGAGGTGGTTTAGTCGCTGACTGTTGCAGTGCTGTGCGAGAACGCAGAACATTTCACTGCAAACCTCCGACCTCCTGGGCCGAACAGGGGCTCTCCAGTGCACTTGTTTTAGAGCAATTTGGGGATTGAGCACAAGAGCAGCACAAGGTCAGTTTTACTTAATTTCCTGCAGGCACAGACTGAGGCAGTATTAGAAGCAGCCTGCGCTGGCCTGTAGGAAACTCACAGTGTTGTTTTTTGGTGTGGTGTTTTTTTGTTTTGTTTTGTTTATTTTGTTTGTGGTTTTTGTTTGTTTGTTTGTTTGGCTGGGTTTTTTTGTTTGTTTGTTTGTTTTTTTCCACTGCCTGCCAAAGCCCCTGATGTTCCAACTTTACCCCAACAGGGAGACAGAGGAAGGAGAGGGGAATGTAATGGCAGATGGCAACCCACAAGGAGGCGAGAACTACATGCTGCACTTTGGCACTCGGTGACAAGGACAACTTTACAGTAACCTAGTTTGCTTATAAATTGGATGAGGATTATTTGCCATTTTCCTCCCCCCCCCCCATCTTCAGTCAGATCATTGCAAGGCACACTAAAAAAACTTAATTAATTAATTGACTTAGCTCTGGGAATCTGTATTCTAATGCTGACGAGACATAAGAGAAATGATTTTGTTATAGTTAAGCCAGATATTGTTGTGTTATTCCAGGCTTTGATACAGTTTCAATGTGTAGGACAAATTTCCTTATCCAGTAAAGCACCAATGAGTTGCTCAGTCACCACTGTTACCTAGCCTGAATGCCTCGGGAACCTGCAGAAATTCAATAGAGGTTTTGCTGTGCTTTCTGCGTGACTTTGCCTTCATACAAAAGCGTGTTCAATGGAGGTCGACAACAGGTAAGGGGAAAGGAAATTGACTTTCTCATAGTTTTCCAAAAAATGGTTCTCCTGCCTGCTTCTAGCCATTAAAATTAACTTGCTATCTAAAAGGATCTTATCTAAATTAATTGTGCTGTCTCTGCATAGTGTTTCCCCAAGGAATGCACTGAAATACTGTTACGTCTTTGCCTGTTCTTGGCTGACTGAGATATTAATTAATTATATGAATAAGCCTAGGAAAATAAAAGTAGGTTTCTGTCTTAATTCATGTGAGCAATGGGGGGCTAATGCCTCATACGTGGAGCGTGCCAGTGGCCACTTTGCTGTGTGACCTGGCCCACTACTCCGTCGTGCTCCAGTCGGTCGGGACAGATGCAGAGAAGAAACCGATCCGCGCCGGGAGGGGAGACACGTCTGTGGTGTGGGGGGACCGATGCTGCGGTGGGCACGGGTACCCCCTCAGGTCCTGGCCGCGGGGTCACCCTCCTCGTGCAGCGCTGGCTCGGGGCTGAATTCAGCCTGGTTTTGCAAACGTCAGTTAGGCTGGGCTTTGTGCGCTAACGCTGCTACCTCGCTGTGTGCTCGGGGCTCGCTCGTTAGGTGATGGCTCGGGGATGTCTGTCCTGCCCTGACTGATGTAGCTACATCTCACACACGCCAGAACCTGGCACAAAGCCTTTGGACAAGTGGGGAGCCTCAGAGCCCAAGATGTTGCTTTTTTGAAACTCCTGGACAAACGGGACCCCCTTTTTTGATCCAGCAAATGGAAATGTGAATGCTCTGCAGTGCTAGCTTATCCTATATGAATGAGATGAACACGGCAGCTTTGTTTTCTCCTTGGTTGGTTGTTGTTTTCTCAGTTTATGAGGCCTCTTCAGGATTTTTAGCTACAGGAAGAACTTCCTTATCGACAGTCCTATTCTTTCTGTGGTGTGGAAAGAAAACACCTGAGTCAGATAAGCTTACCTTGGCTCTAAGCTGAGGGAAAGATAAATGTATATTTTCTCTGCCACTAGCTTCCTTAGAACATTATATATCTGCATATAAAATCATAAGTATTTAGTTGGAAGAAGGAATGAGTGTTCTGTATTATTTAAGAATGCTGAAATTATAAACATGATAGTTGCAATGGCTATTTTATTCTGCTCACCAGTCAACGCTTCATGCTCCTGCAATATCCTATTTCCAGTCTGCCTATTAAAAAAAAAAGCATTTAAGCATTTGAAAACCAGAACTTTGTAATTTACCTATGACCAGTAACATTTACATTTCAAAAATCAGGCTTGGTTTGAAAATAGCCATACTCCAGGCAAGTAGGTGTTAAAATTGCTTCTGTGTTTGGTCAAAAACTTTCTCTCTGTATGCTCTGCAAGCTTGTGTAATTCATATTCAGTCAAATACACTGAAAAGGGTTCAGGTGTTTGCTTCCCACAACATGAGAAATTCTTTCAGACACAGTTGGGATTTACCAAGTCCTTCAGTTTCCCATTACAGGGTTGGTGGAGCCCAGAGTCCATGGGAGGGAAGAGGCACTATTTGTAACACCTGAACATCCCAGAAATGCTCAGGCTCTGCTGATGGCTCCTCTGAATTAAATGCAGAGCAGCTCATTAACTTCAATGCTGCTGCCTTGCATTGCCCCTGACTGACTGAGAGCACGACTTGGTTCTGTGTAACTGTCACCTTGCTGATTTTGCACAATAGTTTTGCTTGAAACGATAAATAGTGCCTGGGTAGTGTAAATTCCCCGAGGGTTGTAGCAGATGCTATCAACTCCACCAGTGGTACTGAGGCATCTGGGAAATTCTTTTATTTCCTTACTTTATGCCTTAAGAACTTCAACACTTTGTTGCAAAGGAGTTTATTTTAACAAATTGCAAATTCCAGAAGACACACAGATAGCACTGAAGTTTTCTCAATTAATAATAAAGACTGAAAAGATTAATGAACAGGAAGTATATTCTCCTGTCTGTAGTCTACACAGGGGAAAAACAGATTCAACTCAGCATTAGCATTCAATACCTATTTTTCATATGCCATCTATTGATTGTGACAGGGAGATCCTACTTTTGAACTAGATGCCCCCACATCCCACAAACAGCTCTTATTTCTGTGAAGAGCAAAAACATATTCAAGCCCTGATGATCCTGAAACTTTGCTTAGGAGTGCTGTAATTAGAGCTCGTGTCTCTACTTTGAGCTTCAGATCTGCTTAGCGAACCTGGAGGCTTGGCTCTAAAACCAGCATTTGTGTTAAGATGCTGTGCTAGTTACACTCTAGATTTGTCAAAACAATCTAACCAACTCTGATAGGAAACCAGAAACAAGAAGGAAAAATTTGGTCAAATTCCTGTATCCAAATATTTTTACAGCATGGGAAATTGAACTAATAATGCTTCTGTCTGGTTAACAGCTGTCAAAGGATGAAAAATAAGCTACTGGGAATGTAGTCAATCACTCACTCCTTTTAATGTGGTGTGAAATCCATAAAGGCATTTATACTGAATTTTAATGTGTTTTCTGGAAAAATCACTGGTAGCTGTGTTGAAGAGATGCCAATTTTTAACAAGCAGCGTCTGGTGCTTTCCAGGCCACTCCACGCATGTGTGTTCTGGAGGGAAGGTCGAGCTTGCACTCCCTTTGCCTCTGGGAATGCATGTTTAGCAACATTCCCTCTCTTCCCCTCTGCTTGAGGTGGGTCACCAGGACATGAGCTTCATTCACAAAAAGCACATCCGAGCCTCATCCAATGCCTCTCTGCTGGCGGCTGCAGTTTTTCCCTGCCTGCAGCACGATGCCTGCTCTCCCGGCGGCGAGGCGCGCACGCTGCAGCCCTGCGGACGTGGCAGCACCCGGGGATATAACCGCCACAAGTCCCACTGGTTTTGCCAGGCTGTTTTTCTAAGACAGCAAAGCAGGGGTGCATCACCCTTTGCAGGGCTGTGGCCCTAAGCTGTGTGCTGTAGGCTTTAACCAGTGGGCAATGCTAACACTTCCCTGCGTGACACAGTGAGATGCTAACGTGTGTGAAGAGCTCAGTGTCGAACCGCACACGGAGCAGCCTGTATGTAGCCAGAGATAGCAGCTTTTTAAATCAGGATGACAATTTTTGCGACCGATAGCGTTGGGAAATGAAGCGCTCAGTGACTGCACAGAGAATGTGCGGCTCAGGTTGTTGAAGGATTTGTATTTCCCTGTGGCCCTGCTCTTCACTGGGTTTTGTTGGATGGACACAGCTGGATACAGCTGGATACAGCTGTGATGGTCACGGTCTGTGGCATCTTCCCCATCTTGCCCCAGAGGAGATATACTGTATCAGGTGGTGTTAATGCACGGGATAAAGCCCCCTTTGGTCACCCTCCTCCTCTGGCTCAGCAGACCCACGGCAGGTTTTAGGCTGGTGGATTCTGGGTGACTGTGGGGAAGCTCATCCTGCCCAAAGCACTCATACACGGAAGGAGAGCCAGTCCCAAGGTTTTCTGCCATTGTTTAAGGTGAAAGCACCGTGTGAAATGTAACTTGTGATACTCCCTTATACCATCTCCACCAGTTCATCCAACTACCAAAATCAGGCTAACAATAAAGGCCAGTCTCGATGGTATTTTTCTAAATCTACAGTCCTAGGGACCTGAGTAGGTGACAGCTCATTTCCCATAAACTCACAACCACTTGAGCCTCACTTCCCTTTCTCATGACATAGACTGATTTTGTGGTCTGAGGGTCACCTGGTATGCTCACTCCAGGCGATGTTTTTAATTAATTTTATAGAGAGACGGGAACAGAAACAAGACGGTACCCCAACTATAAACTGGCATATAATTTCCATGCATGAGAATGGTAAAAAGCCAGAAAACTACTGAATAGAGTCTTGCTGTTTTCTTTTCTGCTGGTTACCTTCACCCAGTGATCTGTAGAGGTGAGCAGTTGCTGTTCCTCAAATCAATCATTTACTCAGTTTCATAATGTATCTTTCACATGTGAGTTAAGGCTCGGGTCCACACTTTATTGCAGCTCCACATTACAGATTATACAAATCAAGGCAATAGAAACACTTAGCAGTGGGATGACAGTCAGCATATCTTCCTGATGTCTTGTCACATTGAATTTTCCTTCCCAAACTGGGAAGGGCACGGGCATAGACATAACAGGTCAGTCCAAAATAGAAAGTAAAAGTGCCTCAGGATGGCTGTAGGGCTAACACTGGTGTCATGGTTCCTGTCCAGCCTGAAGCCATCAGTATAATAAAAGCTGTGGTTTCAGCTGAGTTCCTTCCAGACATTAGTTGAGTGCAAAAACTACCCAGCAGAACCAGGCTCTGTGGAGGAAATGACCAGGGCTGAACAACCGTGATGGTTAACCCCGTTCAAAGAGAAGGTCACCTGGGAGGTGAATACACATTATACAGCTGTCCACAGCCTGCTACGCCAGTGAACAAAGAGGAGCATTGGACTTCCAGTCCCTCAGCTCTCAAAAACATAACTGTTCATGAATTGTTTCTGAATTTATGTACTGTGTAACATGCAACTGAAACTAAATATATTAGATTAAACCAACATTCATGCTTTCTTTGCTCTATTTATTAATTTTCCTCTTTTAACTTATATCAGCTCCCAGACTCCAGAAATTGCATCTTACAGTAAAATTGTATATTAGTGATATACAAAACTTAGATTCTTTCCTAATATAACCCCTGAGTTCCAGTGTGTTGCTCTTTTATTCAACTAAACATATTATGGCCTTGTGCTTCTCCCTTTCACACATGCTGGAAACGATACATCATTTGTTTCATTAAGGTCGTAACTCATAAAATGCTATTTTTCCTGCTGAATGACAAGTTCCCTCAGCTTCCACTGAATTCAGAAGTGATGGGGGATGCTTATGTGACTGAGCCTGAATTCTCAACTAGAAGCGAAGCATTTGGGGTTTATTTCAGTCCCACTGAAATCAGTGGGACATAAATATAATTTTAAACAAACATTTAAGTACTTTGCCAAATGCAGCTAGACTGCTGAAGATAGGTCTCAACAAGAAACTGTTTTCTGTTTCTTACCATGATAACATATTTTGACACACTGTTATGGTACCAAGTCAGTCATATCATCTTTAACATATTATAACCAAGAGAGAAGTCATCCTGCTGTACTGAAATTCATGAATAAGAATCATCTTTGAGTGGTATTTCTGAAAATCAGCTACACCCATTTTTATATTAAAAGTGCAATGCTCCTGTTTTCTGCAAACTCTTTCACTCGTATGTCTCCAGGGAAGCTCAGACTAGGAGTTAGGAAGCCAGTGGAGAGACTGGGTGCACAGACTTCCAGACAGACGTTCTGCCCATGCGTGGAGAGGGCAGTATTACCCGCTCGGTGCCCGCGGGAGCACAGGGGCCCGCCGATGCACAACAAAATCTCCTGAAGACCGCTGTGGCACTGACCAGAAGTTTTATGCAGCCAAGTCTATCTTCCCCCCCAGACCTCCTTTTAATGTTTGGTTTTAATTATTATTTTCAGTGTGTCGTTTCTCTTTCATTTAACTCGAATCTTTGTATCCATTACAGCGTTACAGCTACAGTACTGAACATTTCCTTGTTGTTCCTGCAGTTACTTGTGTCTTCCCAGCTTTGATTAATTTCTGGAATTTATCTAAATTATTCCTTAGAGAGTTTGTGGTAATAAATCATTGCCTAGTTACTAGTTTCCCCCCTCAAATTCAGCTACTAAAGCAGTAGGTGTTCTAGAAATGACTGTGAATATAATACTTGTGATGGTTATGTATACATGGAATTGTTCTCCTAGTGATCAGCAGCATGAGCTTATTGCATGTAGGACAATTAAATGAATTCAGTCAGCTCCTGGGACACCTGACAGCCTGTATGCAGACACCTAGACTGACAAGGGTTCCCAAACTCACAAGCCTCCAATAAACCCTGTCAGGAGAAAGATTTATAAAGAGAGAGGAGCCAGCAGCAAAGCCATCTACACACTTAAGGGCGAAGTAGCATTCCACTACCAGAGCTGACTAATCGTTTCCTTTATCTGACCACCGAGAATGTCCCAGATATTAATTCTTGGTCCAAGCTACCTCAGTGTGGCTTCACAGCAATGCCACCAACCCCTCCGCCGGTGCTTTGCCCTTTTTACCAGGAGAGGGAGCAGATATCTGTAAATCCCCCGGAGCTTTTGTTAAACCTCTCCA